AAAATTAAATTTTTTTTTGCCATCATTGATGAGAATTATGTTAGGATCAGCCGCACATGCATGAAGCAATCACAACAAGAAACACATTAAGCACACGGAAGATATAAACCAATGCAACATTTAACAATTCAAGCAGAAGTTCATATTATTTATGAAAATCAGGAAATAAAATTTTGTTCAAAACCGAAAAGGAAAAAAACAAAAACTACACAATGTAACAGATAGAAGAATTTGACAGCCCAAATCAGGGAATCAAATTTTGTTCACAATCCAATCAAATGGACTTTCACTTTCACTTCATAGTTTTGATCCAAAACTCCATTCAAAAGCAAGCATCTAGCAGACAGCAACAGCACAGAGCAGCCAAACTGCAAAATTCATAAAATCGGATAACTAATTAGGGAATGCACCTGCACCTTAAAAAAAAGAGAACTTTTAAAAAAAACTCTCGGTACTGTTCACTTTAACGAAAAACCATATTTTTACACTAAAAAATCAATCCTGGTACAATTCACTTTACTCTTTATTTTGTTCTTAATCGTTAAAACTCAAAGTTTTCGAGTCATTTTCATTAGTTTTCCTTAAAAATAATCAGACAATATAGTACTTATCCAAAAACGACAACATTCTATAGGTGTACTCCAGAAGATTATTGTCGTAAGTACAACCTCAAGATCATCAAACATTACCTAAATGACTGGATTGTCCTTGACCCTCATCAAACATTACCTAAATGACTGGATTACCCTTGACCCTGATGACATGAATACTGGACTTAACTACAGTACGCTATTGTGACATTCCAAACGAAAAACATCATCATCCCATTATTATCGTTGAATGAGTTTAAATTCTGAGATTTATGTAAAGGAACTATTATTGGCTTTCCAAAAATCTCATTATACACTTTTCACAAGTGTATTTTTCTTTCCTGATATAAAAAGTTTGGAGTGTAAAATGAAATTTTTAAAGTGCTAATAACAATTCCCTTATGTAATATATAGATAAAAATGACAATAATTAATGGACTGCATTCTTCTAGACGAATAACGCAATGTTATGAATTTCAACCTTCTCGCGTGCATTAGTTTGGAATGCCATGAAGGATAAGGAAGTCCCTGTCCATGACAAAGGGTAACTTGGGAACAAAAGCCATGGGCTCTGGCCAAGACTAGGGAAGAGGATCCGTTTTCCTAGGAATCTTAGGAATCCCGCGATCGTGACCGTTCATCGTACATTGTACGATCAGTTTTCGTTAAGTACTATTTATATTTAATTTTAAATTTTAAAATAATTTCTGACTACACGATATACGATGAACGGTCACACAAGATCCCTAAGAAAATGATCTGAGGAGGATCCTTTTCCCAAGACTAGGACCATTCATGTGAACCCATTTTTCTAGAAAGTGGAAATTGGAGTACTTATGGGACAAGGATTGTCGGTCCTCCTTGTTTCCGTGTCCTCTCATGTCCTCCTGATTGTGTGGTCACGGTTAAATTACGTCAATATTTTATATTACTATTCATTTTTGTCTTATTATTTGTATAAAAAATCACAACCCACCGAGAACCGATCCCCAACCACAACCTACGTGATTTGAAAGCATAAACTCCACTAATTAGTGGATTGCTAAAAGAGGGAGAGTTCCAAGTTGCAACAGATCTTTACTCAGAGATGCTTGAAAAGGAATTGTGAACACAAGTTTCAAGGAGAAAGATGGGTTGGGGGAGGAGAAGTTGGATTTAATTAACTAAAACCAAGATAATTTAGTTAAAACTTAAGAAGTTCAAATCGCACGAAATTTGTGAATAGGACACATAGATATTTTTAAGGAGTTTCTCCTAAATCCTTGAGTCAAGTATTTCTATTAAAAATATTCAATTTCTGATTGTTACCAAATTCCTATTTTATCCCTCAAGTGACGGAATTAACAAAAATACTACTAGTGCAACAAATAACATAATTCGAGAGCAGGATAAACTATTAGAAACTATTAGTAGAGTACAAGAAGAAAAACTAAACTCGTGATATCGATCATGAAGCTTTGCTACAATTTAGCCTTTTTTCTTCTTTGTTTAGTTTTATTTTAATAAATAATAAATAAGCTAGATTATTTTTTCTTCTTAATATTTTATCCCAGCATCCTTCTCAAAAAAAACATTTTATCCCAGCATCCACATTAACACCATTTTGGATCCGATATCTTCCTACTTGAGCGTACTGACAGAAAATCTAACGAGTTATAAAGAAGCAAAGCTCGATAGTTTGGCAAAGTCAAGGACAGATTCTAATTAATTCCTAATTCAGGGACTAGTGCTACAATTTGAGTCATAATTTCAGGACCATCGAACCAATTTCCTCTTTCAGAAAAGAGTTGTAAGATGTGTTTGACTAAAGGACAACAAACCAGGGACCGAGTTGACTCGGTGCAAAACTCAACAAGACCAAGCCAGATCTGAGTCAAGACTCAAAACTCAGATTCACAAATTTTACAAAGCGAAGTACAGAAAGTAAAAAGGAGGTCAAGAAAGGGAAGGAAATTACATACCAGCCCTCCATGAGGCCACTGCTGTTGTTCTGTTGTTGAGGGGGAGGCTGGGCGTACTGAGGGGCGTAGGGAGGAGGGTACCCTTGGGGGTACCCCTGAGGTGGAGGGTATCCCTGCGGTGGATATCCCGGCGGCGGATAAGCGTCTTTGGGATATCCTTCCGGTGGATAACCTATTCCAATTACAATTTACACAAACAAAAGTGGCAGAAATACCAAATCAGAACAAAACCCATGTCACAGAATTCAAAAAATAATCAAACTATCAGGACATTTTTTTTACAGATCTAAACAAAATCAAGAAAAAAACCAAACATGCAAAGTCTGCTTACCTTGAGGTGGAGGAACGCCAACGGGGGGCTGCTGCTGGTTGTAGTAGCTCATTGTTGGCGGTGTTCTTGATGGATTGCAATAGCTAACAAATTAAAAAGTCGGAAGAAATAAAAAAACCCAGAAAATATCTCGAAGTCGCCTTTTTCTTTTGTTTTTGGGTTGTTGTTACTCTTTCGCTTCAGGAATAAGTTGAGAGACGTTATTTAATGTGGATGTAGAGAGACAGAGAGGTGTGGACAGGCTGTATGTGGGAACGGGTGTTCGTTTTCAATTTTATTTTTTCCTCCGAATAAATAAATTTGGAAGGCAGTAAATCAGGAGGGTGGTTTTACTTGGGGCAGGGAGGGAAAGGGAGGTTTGTTTGTTTTGTGCCCGCCTGCATTCAAATTTTAATTTTAATTTTTTTTAGCAAATCGGCAAAATTTTATTTGGTTGAAGTGTTAAAAAAATTCAGCATTCTAGAACTCTGAAGCATAACTGAGAACCCCTGTGACATTACCTTTTCTATCAAGGAAAAGACTTGTTCTTGAGGAGGAACTCCTTCTCAAGATCCTCGTAGCCAATTCACAAAACTTCATGTTTATGATTAAAACGGTTCGTAATATAAATCATCATTTAATTATTATTTATGTAAAAGTTTAGAGGAAAAAAATGAGATTGTTTAATTATCGCAATATATAAAATAAAAGGAAAACTAACGAAAAATCCAAAAAAACTTCATTTTTAATAAAAAGCCATTTTAAAGGTATAATAAATAGTACCAGGGAAATGTATAAATGTGGTTTTTTGTTAAAGATGAACAGTACCGATAGTGTTTTGTTAAAACTCTCTAAAATAAATGATCGGTGTTAATAAACCTATTACGAACTGTCTATCCATTATTTATTATAGTTGAGTGACTAAATGACTTTAGTTTAATGGACTTTTTGTAGAATGATTTATAATATGAATGGTTTCAATCATAAGTATGAAGTTTTGTTAATTGGCCACGAGATGTCTTGAGGAGGACTCCTCCTCAATCTTAAGGAGCCAAGCTTCTCTCTAATGTTAATTCAAGAAAGCAAAAGAACAAAAGCCAAATATTACATACCGAGGTTTGATAATTGATTAAAAGTGCATTTTAATTCGCATTCATTGTACACATAAAGTGCTTTTGTTTAATAATTAATCGATTTTGCGCTTTAATGCTTACAATTAATTTAATAGGTATAAAAGATTGATTTGTATAACTTCTCTCTAAATATTGGTCTTATTTTTGCATGTGCAGGAGCATAAGAGTTGAATGATGAAGATAAATAAGTAAAAGTTGGGAAAGTGGCGGTGCAATCTCGGTAAAAAGTAAGAGGATATTTAAGTTGGGTTAGGTCTAAAATATCGATATTATTTCGATATTTTCATCGAAATTTTTCGTGTTTTTGGACTACCGATATTTCCGATATCATCGATATTTTAGACCTTGATATGAACTCTATGTGGTACTCAGTCACTCATGTATCTTACTACGCAATGTATAAAGTGAAAAATATTGTACTAATTCATTATATATAAATGATTATGGTGTGTTTAAACTTCTTTCATTAATTACTACATATTTTCTACACTCACAATGTTTGTCAGCTTGCTATATAATCAACTTAAATCAGTTAAATCCATCATGCAATGCATTTCCTTCCAATTTTTTGTGATAAATTAATAGATAATTGACTAAATAAACATCATGCAAAGTTTCAATAAAAATTTCCAAGTTTTTCTTACAATTTCCGTGGTTTTTATTCAATTTTTATCGATATCGATAATATTCCGATATTTCCATCGAAATTTCCGTGTTTTTGGACTACCGATATTTCCGATATCATCGATATTTTAGAAAACAAAAGGGTAAATTACATAGTAGCCCTTCATGTTTGAGGTCTATTACAACCTCATATAACATCTTTAAAACATTCAACTTTCATACCTCACGTACTATTTTATTTCAAAATAATACATCCGTTACATTTAAGCACTAACGTGGCTGCCAAATGTGTGCCATGTGGCAAAACAAATAATTTTTTAATATTTTTTTTTAAAAAAAAAACCTAAATCTTCAACCAAAAAAAAAAAAAAACTTAGAAAACCTAGATCCCATCACCCCACCCTTCCCCCCGACCGCCCGCCGAAACCCCATCCCCTTCACCATCTTCCCCATCTGTTGTCCCTCCCAACAACCCAAATCCAAAACCACTCCCACCCATCCTCCACATCCTCATCCGCACCCATCCTCCACCTCCTCCACGCACCCATCTTCCCATCTCCCCCCCTACCCGAGCCCAACCTGCAACATAGAAAAAAAAAAGAAAAAAAAAACCCATCTTCATCTTCCCCGACCCCCCTTCCCTGCAACCCACCCATTTCTTCTCCCTTCCGTCTTCCCCAAACCCACCATGCATCCATCGTCCACCTCCTCCTTCGCATCCACTACCTGCAACCTTGAAAAGAAAAAAAAAACAAAAAAACTCATCTCCCTTTCCCTGCAACCCAGATCATGTCTTCCTCAATGAGTGTGGATTTAAGGAGTGGAGTGTGTAGAGGAGGGAAGAGGGTGGGTGCGGAGGGTAGGTGCGCGGGTGGGTGCAGAGGAGGACGTGGAGGATGGGTGAGGTGGGTTTGGGGAAGACGGGAGGGGGAAGAAAGGGGTGGGTTGCAAAGAAGGGGGGTCGGGGAAGATGAAGATGGGTTTTTTTTTTCTTCTTCTTTTGGTTTGCAAGTTGGGTGGGGGAGTGGGGGAGGGAGGGAGGGAAGACGAAGTTGGGGTTGCGGGGAGGTGTTTTTCAGCTTTTGTTTTTGGTTTTTTTTTTTTTTAATATTTATTTATTTAGAAGATTCAGGTCTTTTTTTTTTTTAAAATAAATTTTTTTTGCCACGTACGTGGCACACATTTGGTAGCCACATGGCACAAATGTTGTAACCACGTTAGCACTTAACGGATCAATGGATGAAAAATGTAACGGAGGTATTATTTTGAAAAAAAATAGTACGTGAGGTATGAAAGTGAAATGTTTTAAAGATATTGTATGGGGTTGTAATAGACTTCAAACTTGAAGGGCTACTATGTAATTTACCCGAAACAAAATGCCCAAATTAGATAACTATTGCAATTTACATGCCAAGCAAATAGAGAAGAGGGAATTCATGGCTCGTTTACAAGTCATTTAAATGACTGAAAACGTTTTTGGTAAAATTGATTTTGGGTTCCAAAAGTATTTAAATTGTTTTTTCAACATTCACTAGATTTTTACTAAGAATTGGTTTAAAAAACATATTCATCAAAAGTGCTTCAAGTCATTTGAAAAGCGCCCCTAGCCTTACAGCGTAAAATCTAGCCGGTAACATTGTAGGGTGAGAAATCAGAGCACGCGGAGAAAATAGGGAGCCAACGATTTTTTATTCTATGATATTTGCCTTCAGCGGGAATTCATGTGCGATTAAAAGAAATGGAATCGGGTCTCCGTGTCCTGGTATCTCTCTTGGGGTTCTAAGACAATTTCCGTACAAGGGCAAATACTTGGTTCCATTTGGAAGCTCTATCCTCTCTGCCTTCTATTTGTTTTCAATTCTTAGAATTCTGTACTTTTCGTTTATGGAGAACTAATCTCCTTAGCTAAGGTTAGGGGAGAAATCTATACTATGACTATGTAGTTTTAATATTTCAATTCTATTTCAGATTTTCAATGTTAATTTTACCTAGTGGATGTTCAAGGAAATTTCTTATTTATTCTATTTTCGGATTGATGAATGTTAGTTATGATTCATAGGTTCAATCATGGTTTTGTTTCAATATTCATGCTATTAGTCAATTGAATAAATTGGCAAATTGGTATGATTTCGACGGAGTAGTTTCTTGATATTTTGTCGTTGTAGTACAAATTATTTTTGGGATTATTTCTATAAGGAATTGAAAGAGCTTTATGTGTTTTGAACATCTACATTGGAGAGTTAATCATCAAATGCTTTTATATTGGGAAAACTTAATTGCCATATCTTTGGATTGAGACTCTCTTGTTTGTATCTCATTTGAGTTATAAATTGAATCGAAATGGTGGAATTGCATAGTTGCATGTAGGCAGAACCTCGATGCCTTAGTGTTTTTAATTGTTGCATTTTTCTTCTAAAAGTTACATCTCATTCAGTATTGTTTTTTGTTTCTGGTTCGACAAGTTCTGCATTCTTTTTCAATACTCACGGGGGAATAAAACACTCGGATTTCAAGGTTATACTGCTATGCGAAACCTGCACTTGGCTTTAGCAAGCAAGGTCCACCACTAAACCCACACTACAAGAAAACAGGATTTTTGTGGCGACAAACATTCGTCACATAAATATGAAAATTCGTCACATTTGACTATATGTGATGAAATTCCAGCGTCACAATTATCGTCACCTATACAGCGTCACCGATAGTTTATGTGACGAATGTTAGAGTCGCCATATATTTTTCTTTTACGTGGCGCTAATTTCGTCACATATTCTGTTTGTAAGTGACGGAATAAGCATCACAAAATAAAAAAGTCAGTGACCAATGTTTTTAGTCTCATATCAAACTTATAAGTGATGATTTTATCGTCACCCAATATAATCCCAGAATGATATGATTAACACTAAATGACATTGAAATCGTCACATATTCTTTTGACAATCAATATTGTCTCCACTTAATTAATAGATGTGGTATGCAAAAGGGTTCGATAAAATTAGAAGGAACAATTTAATACAAGTTGTAATTAGTTTTCTAAGATGTTGAAGTAGGACTTTTACTTTGTGCAAGAAAATTCGCATAAAGTTAGTAGGTTTAAATAAGGGAGTTTTAACGAATCACTCCCGATACTGTTTACTTTTAACGGAAAATCACATTTTTACATTTTCCTGGTACTATTCACTACACCTTTATTTGTCATTTTTCATTAAAACTAAAGTTTTTTTGGACTTTTCGTTAGTTTTCCTTTTAAAGGGACCATTTCTTGACATGAAAATGAATATATGACACAAATGATGAATATGTTTGAGTTGATCGCAAACATAAGTAACCTAATTTGACGAGAAAAATACGTTTTACTAGTAGTATATGAAGAAAATAATTAGCTTTTTCAATTTATTGTTGGGAGGCTTTGTAGTTTTACAGATTGGATTGGAATTTTACCTTCTTAGTGATGATGTTCAGGCAGCCTTCTATTAAAAGATGCAGCTTTTGTTTTCTAATATTCACTTTAGGTTGGAAAACAGATCCAACCAAACCAAACTTGAATAATCTAGTGCTTATATTGCGAGGTAGATTGCGAAGAGCATAATGACTTAGGGATTTTCTGTGTTTACTGTTGAGAGTTGTCCCATATCGGTGGGAAAAAAAGTTTGCTATGTGCTTATATGGTCTTGGGCTACTCTCCATATTGCTAATTGGTTTTATGGTGGAATCCCAATTTCATCATGGTATCAGAGCGGGTTGTCCTCGTGTAAAGCCAAACGGCCACACGCACTCCACGTCACCCAGTTGTTGTCCACATGTAGGCTTGAAAATCCGCCACACATGCAGGGGCGCGTTGAAAGTTGTCCCACATCGGTGAGGGATAAGGTTTGCTATGTGCTTATATGGTCTTAGGCTACTCCCCATATTGCCAATTGGTTTTATGGTGGAATCCCAATTTCATCATTTACTTGTCTTATATATTGTGAGACTAAAAAACTAGAGGGCATTGGCCGAAGAAGGGGCCGACGCAAGGACAACGACTGAAGTTTTGGAAAGTTTCTTTGGCAGAAGAGTAGCATTCTTCTTGGTAGCTACCATGACCATTACTTCAAAGCCCTTCAAAGTTCAGCCGGCTACGGTGAAGTAAGTGTTAGAATTGACCAAGTATTAAAATAATTAAGGAAAACATATGAAGGGTGGTTTATGGTATAACTTCTTTTGGCTTCAGTGTGGCGGATTTCTTTGGTCGCTCTTCAAAGACCTTGGTCAAGGTGTAGTTAACACCAACGCGAAGAGGGCGTCTTTGGAAAGAGTGGGACGACACCCCACCTCAGGGGAGCATAGCCGAAGTCTGAACTATGTGCACCTGTTGGTGTGCTTGTCATGTGGCTTTTCGCAATCCTTATTCGATTATGGTTCCTCCCATGTTCGGGCCAATTGGGAGTGAGACGACACAAGAAGAATGGGGCAGCCTTGATGATACCCCATTAGCTCATAACCAAATGGCAAGTCGCGGATCAATGGGAATGGGCCTTAATTCGGCCGGATCACGACGTCCACCTTGTCATCCCATTCAGAGGTTAGAAGTCTTAGGGAGTTGGGATAAGGTCTTTAGCAGCGTACATGAAGTTCTTCTTTAGTGTTGTACCAGTAGATGTATTCTGCCGAATGATCTAGAACCAGAAGTGGCGTCAGCTGAAAGCCCATCGCTTCGTCCCTTTTGAAGGGTGGGCAGTCAGGCCTTAACGATGTGAAGTAGGTTTGTAGCCACAATTGAAAGACTTAGAGAGGGCCATGCTGGTGAGGCTTCATCCCTCCAGTGTGATGTCGAATAGGCAGTGGAAGAAGTTAGCGAGAATGGCAGGGCTGAGGGCCAATACCTGACAGATTTCCAGTGCTACATATTTTCGATCATGCACTTGTTAGACTTCGAACATAAGATAAACTTGTTGTACCAATAGAATAAGAAAACCTTATGTTTTTTAGGAATTCGACGACTCATTTTTTAAATGCGGTCTTCAATTCCAGATTGTATTGGAAGGAGGGTAGGGTGGCATCAACGGATATGGGGGGTGCTAATGATAGCAATGATGTATAGGATTGTGAAGATAATGGGACTGATAGGAAGGATCATTATGTTGGTGGCTAGGCTCCAAAAGTTAAGAGCCGCCATCAAAAGCTCTTGGTCCATGTTAATCTTTATGGTCGAGATCTTGATAGCGCCGAAGAGGCTAGGCTCTTCTAGTCATTACCGAAATGGTGTTCCATTTGGTCAAACCTATGTGGCTCAGGCAATTAGGGCCCAAGGCCAAGTAACCTAGGGCTTAGTATCTTCCCACTTAGCCCAGTTACCACCTTAGAATAGTAGTTCTCAGGAGTTTTGCCTTCATCAGCGTAACAATGGAGTTTGGGATAGCGTCTTTGTAAAGTGGGTCAAGGAATTAGTAGGTTGCTGATTCTTTATTTGGGAATTTGAAGAACTTGATGGTTTGGCGACCTATGGATTCCTTGGTTTTCTGGAGCTCATAAAAGTTTGTTGGGAGTTATTTGATGAAGCCATTTAGAGATTGCTAGAAAAATAGAAAAGCAAGTTGAGTTTTCTGGAAATTTGAAGGCCTAGATGCAAATCTGCAGAGCTTCTAGGTGAAATATGGAAAGCGTGAGGAAATTTTTTTTCTGAGGTTTTATAGGCAAGACAATGGGAGGATTTAGGGTTTTATTTTGGAGAATTGAGAAAATCCCAAATAAATCCCCGTAATCATCAAAATATAAAGCGTCTAAGCCGTTTTCACGGCGTCCCACTACACATGGGTATGATGTGTCTCAGTTTTTTAGGCACGTCAATTAATGAAGGACGTTTCGACGGCTTGGACGACTAGAGCATGCAGTGCATGAAACGATCGAAGACAAAAGGATACCGTAAGGATTTAACATGTGGCAAGTTGTGGCAGTCGAGGCATAATGGCGTGGATATAGGAACCAGATGCAATAAACGTTGGTGAGTGGGTGGTTGGAAGAGTTTCGCTTCTTCAAAACCTTCTGGCCAAATGTCCATGGTCAGAGGCGGAGGGACCAAAGGACCATAGTAGTCCTAGGCCTACCCTACCTTTGTTTAAAAAAAAAAAAAAAAACCGTCCGGCCCTCTTCCCAGTCCAACTTTTGTAATTCAAACCTATATCCTATTAGTAGCATAGTGGCTTATACCATTTCCAGTGCACTTTCCAATCAAATTGGCCCCCTTTTCAATATTAAAATAATTAATTGATATAAACTTTTACACAATCTCTTCATTCCGTTTCTCAATAATGAAATAAAGGGTAAAAGATTGTTTACTACCCTCATGTTTCATGGTTTTCAACATTTAGTACATCAAGTTTTTTTCGTCTCAGAGTCATACCTAAAGTGTAAATTTTGGGACAGTCTCATACATCCGTTAGTCAAACTGTTAAATCTGCTGTTAATTGTGATGTGGCGGTCATGTGGATAATAACTGGGCGTCACGTGTCAGCCACGTTTTTTTTTTCCTTCTTTCTTCTTCTTCTTCTTCTTCCTCCGACTGCAACTTTTTTTTTTCTTCCTTCCCCTTCTTCTCCTTCTTCCTTTTTCTTCATTCTCCCTTCTCCATTCTCCTTCTCCTTCTTCTTCCTCCGAATCTGGGGAAGTTTTTATTTTTTCTTCTTCTTCCTCCTTCTTCCTCCTTCCTTCTCCTTCCTCCTTCCTTCTTCCTTCTTCTTCCTCCGAATTTGCCCAGATTCGGTTTTTTTTTTTTCTTCTTCTTCCTTCTTCTTCTTCTTCTTCTTCTTCTTCTTCTTCTTCTTCTTCTTCTTCTTCTTCTTCCTCTAAATCTGGGGAAGTTTTTTTTTTTTTTTTTTCTCCTTCTTCTTTCTCCTTCCTCCTTCTTCCTTCTTCCTTCTTCCTTCTTCCTTCTTCCTTCTTCTTCTTCTTCTTCTTCTTCTTCTTCTTCCTCCGAATCTACCCAGATTCGGCTTTTTTTTTCTTCTTTTTTCTTCTTTCTTCTTCTTCTTCTTCCTCCGACTGCAACTTTTTTTTTTCTTCTTTCTCCTTCTTCCTCCTTCTTCCTTCCTCCTTCTTCCTTCCCTTTTTTTTTCCTTCTTCCTTCTTCCTTCTTCTTCATCTTCCTCAAAAAAAAAAAAAAAAAACCTTCATCTTCCCCAGATTCGGAGGAAGAAGAAGGAAGAAGGAGAAGAAGGGGAAGGAAGAAGGAAGAAGGAGGAAGGGGGAAGGAAGAAGGAGAAGAAGAAGGAAGAAGAAAAAAAAAAAAAAAAAACCGAATCTGGGCAGATTCGGAGGAAGAAGAAGAAGAAGAGGAAGGAAGAAGGAGGAAGGAGAAGGAAGAAGGAAGGAGGAAGGAGGAGGAAGAAGGAAAAAAAAAAGAAACTTCCCCAGATTCGGAGGAAGAAGAAGGAGAAGGAGAAGGGAGAAGGAAGAAGAAGGAAGAAGGAGAAGAAGGGGAAGGAGGAAGGAGGAAGGAAGAAGGAGAAGGAAAAAGGAAAAAAAAAGTTGCAGTCGGAGGAAGAATAAGAAGAAGAAAGAAGAAAGAAGAAAGAAGAAAGAAGAAAAAAAAAAGAAAAAAAAATGTGGCTGACACGTGGCACCCAGTCATTGTCCACATGGGCACCACGTCACAATTAATGGCACATTTAACAATTTGACTAATGGATGTATGAGACTGTCCCAAAATTTACACTTTAGGTATGACTCTGAGACGAAAAAAACTTGATGTACTAAATGTTGAAAACCACGAAACATGATGGTAGTAAACAGTCTTTTACCCTAAAATAAATATTTTTTTCCAAAAAATAAAAAAATAAAAAAAAATTTATTTGAAACAAAATGATTTCACTTGTCCCATCATATAACTCTCGTTTTCTGTTCTCTCACATTGTCTCACCAGAGTAGCAACTATGGCGGAGCATGAACTCCAAATCTCCACAGGTTCTCATCTTTAATTCTTTGGAATTTGTCAATTTTATATAGATTGTCATCTCTATATATAAATTAATTCAACAAATAATATTTGTTTTGTAGACTAGAAGATTACTTCCATTATTCCAACAAAGAAAAAGAAATTGAAGTTTAGTTAGTTGACTTACAACCCAAAGTATGCATTTTACTCTCAATCCCTCTTGCAATTTTTGTTTCTAAATTACGGTTATTTTCTTACTAAATTGACGTCTTGCAATTTCTTTTAATTAATTGCCTAATTTGTTTTAGTTTGTAAAATTTACTATATATGTTCATATTTCTTATAATTTAAAGTTAGTCAATTTACATTTTTCAGTTTTCAGTTATGGAAAGGTATTTCAAAATAAAATTACAACCTGAGATATTAGAGTCGTCGTCTCCAAAGAGTCCAAAGAACAATGAAAGTAGTTTTGTCAATTTATATACTATGATGTTTTGGTTAATAGTTTTGCAAATACTATCCGTTTAATTTTTTTTTCCTAACATTTGTGGGAGACCCCTCCTAAGTCGAAATCTTGGCTCTGCCACTATCCATGGTCGAAGGTTAAGAAGCGAGGCGGCAATGTTTGGGCCTGAAATATTAGGGGGCGAAAGTGAATAGCCTATTCTATTATTTTCAAAAGCCAAATCAAAATTAATGAACCCTTTATTGAAAAAAATTAAAAATATATAAATTTCAAGGTTATATGTCCAACGAATGCATGAAAATTGAAGAAATATTATTAGGCTATTAGGCTAAAAAAACAAGGGAATATTTATTTTCTTTTATAGATATTAGGAAGTGGAGAACCAAACACATAATAAGGGAAAACCTATTGAACCTTGAAGAGGAGGAGCAGGAACACTGCTGGGAGATTGCTTGTGAGGAGGTTCATCATCGGAGGTGGTTGTTGTTGATGAGAAGGAGGAGGAGGAGGTTGGTGCTGGTAGTGATAACTCATTGTTGGTGTTCTCTAGATCGATTTTGTTGATTAATGAAAATGTAACCTTATGTAATTTTTTTGCTTTTAATGCAAAACGCTAGGAGATGTGTTTTCGTTGGCCAAGGAACCAAAAGAAATTACTCTCCATCAAATAGCAGCTAACAAAATTATGTTTTAGTTTTGACACGCTGGATTGTTTAAGGTTAGGAACATGCAAATGGAAGATGTGAAATTGGTATTTGATAGCTTAAGTGAATTTTAACATGCAAATGGGAAAAATCTAAAAATAACTCAAGGTTCAAGAGGGTGGCTTTATATGGCCACTTTGTGGCGCTAGTAATCTTGAGAAATGGTATCCGAATTTCACCTAGAGAATGAGAAAGACCTCCTCAAAATGAATTTTGTATTGTCTCCAATATCTTAAACAACTTTATTGTTTGGAACAAAATTGAATAGTTGAGATTATATATTATACTTTCTTCCTCTTCTTCCCTTATTTCGTAATGAACAATATATGAAAAAGTCACACAAATTTTCAGCAAAAAACAGTCACATAACTGTTGCTTACCTCCATACAATTCACATGCTTCACTTCTTAAACTCATAATGTTATAGCATACATAGTTACATACTATTCTTCTTCTTTTTCCTTGTCAATAGCTTTTTTTTAGGGCAAAATGCCAAAAGGAATCTTTAGAAATGGTATCCGAATTTCACCTAGAGAATGAGAAAGACCTCGTCAAAATGAATTTTTAATTTTCTCCAATATCTTAAACAACTTTATTGGTTGGAACAAAATCGAATAGTTGAGATCATATATTACACTTTCTTGCTCTTCTTCTTTATTTCGTAATGAACAATATATGTAAAAGTCACACAATTTTTCAGCAAAAAACAGTCACATAATTGTTGGTTACCTCCATACAATTCACATGTCTCACTTCTTTGACTCATAATGTTATTGCATACATACTATTCTTCTTATTTTTCTTTGCCAATTGCTTTTTTTTTTCAGGACAAAATGCCAAAAGCAATCTTGAGGAATGGTATCCAAATTTCAGCTAGAGAATGAGAAAGACCTCCTCAAAATGAATTTTTAATTTTCTCCAATATCTAAACAACTTTATTACTTGGAACAAAATTGAATAGTTGAGATCATATATTACACTTTCTTCCTCTTCTTCCTTATTTCGTAATGAACAATATACGAAAAAGTTACACAATTTTTCAGCAAAAAACAGTCACATAATTGTTATTTACCTCCATACAATTCACATGTCTCACTTCTTTGACTCATAGTGTTATTGCATACATACTATCCTTCTTCTTTTTCTTTGTCAATTGCTTTTTGTAAGGGCAAAATGCCAAAAACACTTGCATTAATCAAATCAACACATTTACCCAAAAAAAAAAAAAAAATCAAATCAACACATACATGAATAACAACATGCCAACAAAAATTGACTTGAAAAAACCCCTTTGTCAATGTTTATTTTGTTGATGTGATGTCCTCAAAATAAATGGTTAGATTGGCCCAAGTGCTACGTTCTTTCATGTATAAATTGATAAGGTTCGTGGCGGTGTCGTCATCTCTGGTATATATTTACCCTTCCAGTGCTATGTGTACGTAATACTATATACGCATCAATCCTCTCACTTTCCAACTCATTTTCTACCTTCTTCCGCTCTCTTCTTTTGAATACTATTTTAAACAACCTAATCAATTAAAATACATATGATAAACGATAATTGTCGAGCAGCCATATAGCGTAATCTCTCTTGATGCGCTCGGCTTCCACAAGGTAGCCTTGGTTTGGAATTGAGATGATTTAAAAAAAAATGGGTATAAAAAAAAGTAGAAAGGGTTCTTGCTGTTTGGTAAACTATCAAAATCAACTTTATTTCAAAGTTGTGGATGAAAATAAGCTCAAAACCTAAAGCTGCAAATCTTCCAAAAACAAGGGTGAACAGTAAATCTTTAATGAATTTTTCAATAACCCCAAAATTGCCCTCCTTTCCTTACACTTTCAGATTGCCTCTCGCACAACCTGAACCAGAAAATTTCAATCCTAGATCTCTCTCATTCTCTCAGTGATCTCTCTCGTTCTCTAGGCTCGGCATCCTTCCTCAAGTACTCGGACAGCCTGACGGTGGTGGGCATCTCCTTATGCACCGCCTTCATCTGCTAGGCGATGTCATGGGTTCTCATCGACAACTCTCCAGCTTTCTTCAAAATCCCCTATTCTCCTCTTTTGAGAAGGTCACCTGCCTTGCCGGCAAGTAGTCAATCTTCCTGATCTTGATCTTCTCCCTCATCATTTTCTCCAATTCTTCCTACCCCTTCAGAATTCAGAAACAATAATTCAAGTAAAATAAAATAAACCAACCATTTCGAATTTCCACACACACACATATATATATATATATATATAAATGTCCACAAACTAAAAAACTACCTTATATTCTCTGGGTTTCTGATAATTTTAAGGATTATTGACCACAAACCCTAGCATTTCAAACCTAAATAAGTAAAACAAAACCTAGATCAACCCACCAACCACAATCAACTGTCCAATATTTCATATCTACCATAAATAGAAGAAGAAGAAAAAAGGAAAACCATACATAAATTAATTACTAGACCTTTCATCTGTTTTTTTGTTTACCTTCGTTGGGGTGGTTTCAGATCTGAAGTTTTGGTCCTACAAGGAAATTTGCAGAGCAATGAAAGCCAACAATTTTGGAAAGAGAAGGGGAGAGAGAGAGAGAGAGTTGGGCGCTGCTGGTTGTTCAAGAAAGGAAAGGTTGAGAAATTTCTTTCCCATTTATGGAAATTTCCCATTGTGCCTTTTTCTATTTTTTTTTTTTGGAAATTAAGGTAATAAAATCAGGGGACCGATCACCACCGTTTAGTTTATATGTGGACCGATCACCACTGTTTAGTTTATTATCGGTTTTATTCTTCATTAGCCACTGGTTGTGCAGTTGACACGCAATTGCCATTTTTGAATAACCAAAGTTATTCAAAGAGATACAGAGACACACACAAACACAAATATGCATGTCTTTGTAAATTGTATGTGTTTGTGTACCATAGCGCATAAAGTGTGGGTTGTTGGTTAAGGTCGGTTCTGTTTGCACCTAATCTCGATTAATGAATGCATTATTTTCAAGTATATTAACAATATTGTACTAATGAATCATACCTATTCAGTTTAAAATATTTCAATTGAAGTAGTTTGTCATACTAATTCATATTTAAGAAAAAGTTTAAAATATTTTTCTTTTAAAAATAAAGTATATTTAGTAATTCAACTTTATTTATTAAGAAAATTAAATTAATGGCACATCTAGTATTATACTCCTTTTGGTCATTTCACATAGTCATAGCCGTTTTACATAAAAGTACCAAACACTATAATACTGCACTTTTACAAAAACGTTTACCAAACATTCTGCTGTTTTATTTTACAGCTGCTTATTCTCACAACACAGCAGAAACAGTTTTTTTTTTCAAAGCACAGCAATACCAAACCAGCCTGTAATGTAGCCGGACATATTTGGTGTCTATGTTGAGATAGCCCGTCAAGGCTCGGCGAACTTCGTCTAGTACTTAAACCAGGCAAAGGCACCCCTCCCTGGGACCACTTGAGGCCATGGCAGTTGCTCAAGCATCTGCGCTAGCAAGATGCGTGTTTCAATTGTCGAGAGAGCTGTGATGATGGTTTGTTCCATCTTAAGGCTCTACCCCTGCAGATGTGTTAGAGTATATAACTAAACCATCAGGATTATGACATTTGTCATAATATCAAAGGTTAGATTACAAGAGTTGGTTAGTCTATCTTGTACGGATAAGAGATATAGTTAGAAGATAAGGATCATGTAATAAGATCTCATCCAATATATGTGGGATTGTATTTGCTTAAAAACATTAAGTGAAATATATGAAAAGATTTCCTTCTCTCTCTAAACTTTGACTTCTCTCTCAAACTATTATCTTCTTCTCTACGCCTCTATCTTCTTCTCTGTAAGTTTCTCAATGATCTTATACTATGGTTAACATGGTATCAATCGCCCAAACAACATAATTGCTTCTTCGATTCTGGTTTCTTCTGCTTTCGCTTCATTTCTTGTATCTCTGTGATTTCTCTGTGAAATCTGGGCTTTTTCTCGTGCCCATTTATGTGTCTCGTGTCTGTCACTTCTTGCCTACCAAGTGTTTGTTCTTATTTCTTACAGAAAAATCTTCATAATGGTCACGACAAATCAACTGCAAATTTTGCAGTCTCTGATAATTGGGTTAATTTCTTTTGTCTCATCCTCAGTGTCGGTTAAGTTGGATGATTCTAACTATCTTCAATGACATTTTCAGATGCAATTGATGCTTGAAGGCTATGGGATTATGGACTTTGTTGATGGTACAAATTCATGTCCTTCCCAATTCTCATCTCCTGCTTCAAGTGAGTTTGAGGTTACATCCACTACTTCTAATTCAAGAATCAAATCAGATGCATACAAAGTCTGGAAGATGCATGATAAGGCTATTATGCAACTCATCACTGCAACACTGTCATTTGTTGCCATTTCTTGTGTCATTGGTAGTACCAGTGCTAGAGATTTGTGGGTTCGACTTCAAGAACGGTTCTCGACTGTTAGTAAAACTTCAATCTTTCAACTCATGTTTGATCTTTAAACTATCAAGAAAGGTGCAGATTTTGGAACCCAATATCTCCAAAGGATTAAAGAAATAAGAGATTACCTTGCTGTAGCAAGGGTTAATTTTGAGGATGAGGATATTGTTATCTTGGCCTTGAATGATTTGTCTTCAGAGTACAATACATTTATATGTGTAATTTGTGGAAGGGAAAATGTGAAATCTCTTAAAGAATTTCGTGCTCAATTACTTGCAAAGGAAGCCATTATTGAGAGTAGCTAATGTCTGTCATTTCCTACTGCAATGTATGCAAAGAACCATGATTCTAATTCTGGTGCTTCTTCTTATGCTTCTCAGGGAGGTTTCAATTATGGGTTTCAAAATACAAATGGGTTTCATGGAAATTATGGTGCTTCTTCTTTTGGATTTCAGGGAGGTTTCAAGTCTAAGTTCAAGGGCAAAGGTAAAAATGGGAATTTTCAAGGACAAAATTTTTATAATCATCAAGGACAAAGATACTATAATTCTAAACCTGTTCTTCATGATTATGCACCTGGCATTCTTGGCAATCATTCTCAAAGTAATAATGGTGTATCATCTCCTAATGTCATCTGCCAATTATGTTATCAACATGGTCACATTGCTGCCACATGTGTTTATACAAATACTGAATCTTCTGAGAATTGCCAAATTTATGATAGGGACAATCATACTGCCAAGACTTGTTTCTATAGAAATAAAAACAGACCTCCGCAATCTCAAATGACAGCAATGCACATTACTTTTCTTGGTTATCTGCAGTCACAGTATGTGAACAATATGCCTTCCATGATGAATATGGTTCCGTCCAACATGTCTCCTATGATGAATATGATGTCTCAAAATGTTTCTCCATCCATGAATGCCTCTACTTCTTATGTCATGCCCTCCATGCCTTCCGCAATGTCCAATCAAGTCTCTCCACAAGTTTGATTGACTGATTTTGGAGCAACCAATCATATGACAAATGATCTCAGCAATCTTTCTCTTGAATCTCTATATCCACAAAATGAGATTGTTCAAACTGCAAATGGTGAAGGTTTGCAAGATTCTCACATTGGGAATTCACTTCTTAGGCCATCTTTACAGCCTATTAAATTGAATTCAGTACTTTATGTGCCAAAATTGTCTCATAATTTAATGTCAGTTCATAGAATATGTCTTGACAACAACTGTTGGTTGATCTTTGATGCGTATTGCTTTTAGATTCAGGACAAGGCCACAAGGAGAATCTTGACAAGGCCATAAGGAGAATCTTGTATAAAGGGCTCTGCAACAATGAACTATATCCAATTCCTTCTTTCCCTACTTTACAATCACACCAATCACCTCAATTTCAAGCTAATCAAGCTATTGCCTTCCTTAGACATACTGTGAATTCAACCTTATGGCATTGCAAACTAGGTCACCTTTCAAATCCCATTACTTCTCTTATACTTAGGAAGTCTAATGTTGTTGTTAAACAAAATGTGTCTCCTATTGTTTGTCAAAGTTGTTTAGAAGGAAAATTTAGTAAACTTCCATTCTCTCCTGCTTCTGCAAAGTCTGTAATACCCTTTGAAATTGTGCATAATGACTTGTGGGGACCTGCACCCAGTGTATCTGTTGATGGTTTCAAATACTATGCTATCTTTGTTGATGAGTGTATCAGATTTTGTTGGCTTTTTCCATTAATCAATAAATCAGACATTTGTTCAGTATTTGTCTCTTTTTATCAATTTGTCTTCACTCAATTCTCAACAAAAATAAAAATATTACAGAGTGATTGGGGGGGGGGGGAGTACATTGGTAAACCTATGCAATATTTTCTTGCAAAACAACGCATTTCTCATAATAAATCATGCCCTTATACCCCTGAACAGAACGGTTTGGCTGAGAGAAAACATAAACACATAGTTGAAATTGCTATAACATTGTTACAAAATGCCAATTTGCCTTCTAAATTCTGGACTTTTACATGTCAAACAGCCATCTATTTGATAAATAGAATGCCATCTCCAATTCTCCTAAGTAAATCACCATTTGAACTTTTGTATTTTGCCATTCCTGAAATTCACCATCTTAGAGTTTTTGGATGTTCTTGCTTTCCACTTTTGAAACCCTATAACAGCAACAAATTACAACCTAAGTCTGCAAAATGCATTTTTTTGGGATATGCGTCCACTTATAAATGTTACATATGTTATGAACTAAACCATGGGAAAATATACATATCAAGACATGTCATTTTCAATGAAATTGATTTTCCTGATGGATCTTTTAGTTCTAAATCACGGTGTCCAACACAAGCTGGTGTTCTTACCACTTTACTTGTTGTGTTCCCTAACTTGGAAAATGTCCTAGTTACACCACCAACAGTTCATCCTTCAACACCACTACATAATTCATTACCTCAACCATCCATCCCACCACAGTCCATTGATATACAAGGTTTTCCACTTCTTGTGGTACCTGAGTATAGTTCTGAAAGTCTTTCAGTTGTTCTTGAAATTTCACCACTGAATCTACATCCTATGCAAACTCGATCTAAGAGTGGGATTATGAAGAAAAAAGCTCTCTTTGCTTATGCAAATAGTTCAACAGTGGTAGATTTGACTACTACCGAGCCTGCTACATACAAGTCTGCCTTGAAGGTTCCACTGTGGTTTAATGCAATGCAAGAAGAACTCAATGCTCTTTATTCACAGAAAACATGGAGTTTAGTTTATCTTCCACCTCACAAGAATTTGGTTGGGTGTAAATGGGTGTTTAAAGTTAAGAGGGATGCTGATGGGAATATAGTTAGACACAAAGCTAGGCTAGTTGCCAATGGCTTTAGTCAAGAAGAGGGTTGGATTGTAGAGAAACTTTTAGCCCCGTTGTAAAACCGACAACTATCAGATTGATTCTCACTCTTGCAGCTTAATTAAATTAGCCTTTGAGACAACTAGATGTGAAGAATGCCTTTCTTCATGGCATATTGCAAGAGGAGGTTTATATGTCTCAACCTCCAGGATTTATGGATTCTAAACATCCTTACTTGGTTTGTAAATTACATAAGTCTCTTTATGGACTTAAACAAGCTCCAAGGGCTTCAAATGACATGTTTACTCAGTTTTTGCCATACTTGGGTTTTACAAACACTTATTCTGATTCCTCACTGTTTGTCAAACATGTTGATGGCTCAATTGTGATTCTTCTCCTATATGTGGATGATATTATAATTACTGGGAGTGCCACTTCTGCAATACAACAGGTCATTACAGATTTGACTAAGGAATTTGATATCAAGGATCTTGGTTCTCTACATTTTTTCTTGGGTATTCAAATCTCTAAAACTTCAAATGATTTATTTTTGTCTCAAGCGAAATATGTTGTTGATCTGTTGAAGAAGACTGAGATGATGGATGCTAAACCTGTAGCAACTTCATGTTTGCCTTACAATAGGCTTCTTAAGGATGATGGACATCCCTTTAATAATCATGCCCTTTATAGAAGTGTTGTTGGTGCTCTGCAATATCTTGTTTTTACGAGACCTGACATTGCCTTCTCTGTGCATTAGGTTAGTCAGTTTATGCAAGCACCTATGATATCTCATTTCATTGCAATAAAACGAATTTTGAGGCATCTTAAAGGATCTCTGTCACATGGGATTACTTATAGCAGAGGTGAGTTGATAATTAAAGCCTTTAGTGATGCTGATTGGGCTGGGGATCCTAATGATCGGAGATCCACTACTAGCTTAGTTGTCTTTCTGGGAAACAACTCCATTTCTTAGTTTTCAAAGAAGCAGCAAACTGTATCTCGATCATCAACCGAAGCTGAGTCTAGAGCATTGTCTTCAAGAACTGCAGAATTAGATTGGATTCAACAGTTGCTTACATTTCTGCAGATCAAAATTCCTTATACTCCAGTTCTGTTTTGTGATAATATGTCTGCCATTGCACTCTCCTTCAATCTAGTTCAACATCAGAGGACCAAACATATTGAGATCGATGTTCATTTTGTTAGTGAAAGGGTGGCAAGCAAGAAGCTTCTAGTACATTTTGTTTCTTCCCAAGAACAGTTTGCAGATATCCTTACTAAGGGGCTTAGTGCACCTCTTTTCAGTACACATTGTTCCAACCTCATGCTTGGTTTCTCCAAACCTGAGCTTGAGGGGGGATGTTAGAGTATATAACTAAACCATCAGGATTATGACATTTGTCATAATATCAAAGGTTAGATTACAAGAGTTGGTTAGTCTATCTTGTACAGATAAGAGATATAGTTAGAAGATAAGGATCATGTAATAAGATCTCATCCAATATATGTGGGATTGTATTTGCTCAGAAACATTAAGTGAAATATATGAAAAGATTTCCTTCTCTCTCTAAACTTTGACTTCTCTCTCAAACTATTATCTTCTTCTCTACGCCTCTATCTTCTTCTCTGTAAGTTTCTCAATGATCTTCTACTATGGTTAACAAGATGGGCGATTTGCGCATCTAGGGCTTGCCGGCCCATCGGAAGGGTAGCCTCCGGCTACGGTGCAGGCTTCGACGTGAGCTCTGATGTAGGGTTCCCGTTGAGGCCATGGAACGCGGGTCGGGAAATCAAAAATTGGTCTTTGCCGGCTAAAGTTGGTTTTTCCCCGTCAAAAATTTATTTCTTAGCTAAAATTGTAGGCTTACATGGTCATCCAGAAAGCTTATTTTATTAGTGAAATTCGAATATTATAAAAATAATTTCATTTGAAAATATATAATTCAACAATTAAATTTCTTAATATTTTTCTTTTGGTTTTTACAACTATCCTCCATGAAGATATGAACTTTGCTCCCCTCTTCAATTTTATTATTTATATTTCAACTTGGTGTAAAACTTTTTATAAACATTGTCAAGCGAGTGAGGGCTTTTCCTCAAGCTTTAGATAGAGCATATTATTTGCTCACAGTCACAGATAGATATTCCTTCTCCATCTCTTTAATTTCTATCCATGCTCCTGATTCCTGATCAATAGCCTAACAAGGCCAAATTTAATTTATTTAAAAGATTCAAAATAAATAGTACCACACTCCCTTTTTTACTGTCATATGTTTATAGGAAGTGCAAATTGACACTCTAGAAGAATAGACAAAACCTAAATAATAGAGAAATATTTGGCAACTACATTTAGGAGAATAATTTTTTACAGAATATTCTCCGATGAAATAAGACTTCAATCACATTCCTCCCCATAAGCAATCCAACATACAGCAACAGCAAAGAGCGGCCAAGCTGCACCATTTATAAAATTGAAAGAAAAAAAATATTTAGAGAATTCACTTAATTCATCTATCCTCTTAAGATACCATCATGCAAAATATAGAGTATCATGCATAAGTTTGTATAAAATGGGTGAGGAAATTGTAAATATTAAGTCACGTAAAATGTCATTGATCGTTAGTTAAGAGCCAACACATTTTCGTATGCGTCCATACAAAGAGAACCAAAAAAAAAAAGAAGAAGAGGCGTAAACATACCAGCCATTCAAACAACCCGTGCTGCTACTAGTATTGGTTTGCTGATGATGGACAGGTTGGGGGTGATAATGAGGGGGATATCCTGGAGGAGGATGGCCGTGCGTAGGATATCCGGGAGGAGGGTAGCCCTGGGGAGGGTATCCTTGGGGAGGATAACCCTGGGGCGGATAACCTGGAGGCGGATAGCCTTGAGGAGGATACCCATGTGGCGGAGAATTTGGAGGAAGATGCCCACGATGTGGAGAACCCTGAGGAGGATAGCCTGGAGGAGGATAGCCATGAGTTGGAGATTGCCCTTGTGGAGGGAGGTATCCTTGCGGGGGATATGAAGGTGGTGGAGGAATGTCCCTGGGATACCCTTCAGGTGGTGGTGGATAACCTATTCCAGTATTTACAAAAGCCAAATCAAAATTAACGAACCCGTTATTGAAATATATAAATTTCAAGGTTATATTTCCAACTAATGCATGCGAATTCAAGGAAAAATATGAATTACAAGCGATATTAGGGAGAGGAGAATCAAACACCAAATCTTGAGAAACCTATTGAACCTTGAGGAGGAGGAGGAGCAGAAACACCACTGGGAGATTGCTGGTGAGGAGGAACATTATTGGGAGGCTGTGAAGGAGGTTGTTGTTGAGGAGGAGGAGGAGGCTGGTGTTGGTTGTGATCACTCATTGTTGGTGTTCTCTAGATCGATTTTGTTGATTAATGAAAATTTTACCTTATGTAATTTCTTGCTTTTAATGCAAAAAGATAGGAGGTGAGCTTTTGTTGGTCAAGGAACAAAGAGAGATTTATCTCCATCAATATCCAAAATCTAGGGAAGTTTGTTAATTCAAATTAGTCTACAGTAAATAGCGCGCAGCTAACAAAATTCTGTTTTAATTTTGCCACGCTGGATTCTTTTAAAGTGAGAACATGCAAATGGAAGATATAAAATTTGTGTTTGATGGCTTACATGAGAATTTTAACGCTTTGAAACTGTTTCAATATATAAGTTGTATTGAACTCTTTTAGATTTGCGATCTGAGACTTCACATTCTTTAACAATGATTAACATTATTGTATTGTTGAGAGAGCACTTGTGCATGATGTGAAGAGATTTTTTAGTGTGACCGTCACACATGGTGTACAAGATGGTACACCAAGTGTCCCTATATAAATGGTGGGTTATATATGTTAAAAGATTAATAATTTAAAAATTAAAATTTTCCACCACTTGCATAAAAACACGTGGTGTACCATCCATGTTCCTGTCACAACTAAAAATTTATCCATGATGTGATGCAAGGTACCGTTTGGTACGTGGGATGAGACGGAACGGAGTGGGACGAGGTGTTTCGTCCCACATTTGGTGCGCCTAAAACGGGTGAAACGTTCTATTCCACGAGACGAATTTTGGGTGAATTTTTATTCTGTCTCACCCCCGGGAACGATTCATTCCACATCCGTGGAACACAAAATTATAACATCTCCGTCTCCTTCCTCCTTGTTTCCATCTGAGGGCATCTTTGCTTCCTCTCCGTTCCGTCCCGTCTTGTTTCGTCCCATCCCGTCCCATTCCGTTCCGTCCCGTCCCGTCTGCATATCAAACAATACCCAAGTGAATGTCTTTGGAAAAGCTGTCGTAAAGTTATTCTAAAAGGGAGCTTTAAATACATCTCCATTTTTCATAGGAGTGATTTTTACAATTTTTTTTTTTTTTTTCACATTTTGCACCCCTCATCTTAATTCTAGCTCTTAATTATCTTTTGACTTATTCAATCGAACAACTAAAAGAAAAAGTATGTTGAAAGTCAAAATGGATGTGCAAAATTTATTTCTATTTGAAATTGTTGGAGTTATATCCAAACAAATTATATCGTTGAAGAAAAAAAAAACAAATTATATAATAATAAAAAGAAAAGATATAATTTTAGGGAACTTTAACGAAAAACCATATTTTTACACTAAAAAATTAATCATGGTACTATTCACTTTACCCTTTATTTTGTTATTTTCGTTAAAACTCAAAGTTTTCAAGCCATTTTCATTAGTTTTTCTATAATTTTATTGGTACATATTGTGGGAGCAGTGTTAATCATGTTTTAGTCGTGTTAGTCCTGTATTCGTCACATTTTATATATGTGTATCCTTCGAGTCATGATAACATGTCGTGTCTGGAATCGAAAAACTCAAATAGAGATAAATGAGTTTATATTACTGAATAGAGATAAATGAGTTTATGTACATGCTGTGAAGTTTGAACTGCTATTTGGATTCAGTGAGCTGTGAGCTTAAATCATTTCATTAAACATGTTAAATAATTAGAGACAAAACGGGTTTATCAATGTGGTTGATGAGTCAATAGCATGTGGGCAGGTGATCACAATCGTACTTGTCCTTTTAATTTTGATGAAAATTTTCGATTTTCCGTTCATTGTACAACTTAATTCTTTGTCAATGGCTCGATTAGAAAAGGAAAAGGAATGAATTGGAATACAACAATATATTTACATGAGAGATAAGAAAATGAATTGGTATCGAACTCGATATTCACAAATTTTTTATTTAACCTAATTAAACATTAATAACTACTATTAAACTGTAGTATTAAGTGTCGGGCTAGAATTTTTCTTTTAGCCTAATTAAACATTGATAACTAGAACAAATTTTGAAATTTTAAAATAAAATTTCATAATTACGTAAATAAATAAAAAAGATTAAGGCATGATCTAGTTTGTTCTCACTGCCCTAAAGTGGTGGTTTATTTGATTTGATCTATCTATTAAACAAATTTTGAAATTTAAACTAATCTAACCATAAATTAATATGGTGGTGATCATCACCACTACTTTAGGGCAATAAGCAAAAATGCACTCTTTGGAGCAAAAATTGTTACGAGAACAAATAATTCACTCAACACAATTTCACCCTTATTCATCTTTACGAAGAGGGTTTCATTAATTTGAGTTCAACCCATTCTAGGCTACGCGCCTATTAATTACAACTCTTCTTTTGGGAAAGGAATACCCTTTGATTCTAACATGAAAAATATGAAATTTGAGGATTGATATGTTTGTTTGATTTTGCGACTGTATCTAGGTCAAGCCCTAGATTGCCTACGTACCCTTTTAAGGGATCAAGTCACTCATAGTTCATGATTTTGGTATTTGGATTTTTAGTGAGTGAATGACCCACTAAAAGGATTTTTTGTTTGATCTATCTAGGTGAATTTGGTTGAATGAACCAGGGATTCGATTTGGTGTTTTGGTTTTGCAGTTATGTCTAGAATGTGAAATTAGATTGCCTACGTATCCTTGGCGGAATCAAACCGGCATAGTTCTAAATGTATTTGTTGGGATTTTGATGCCTTGTGCAGTTTCAGCTCGTGCAAGCAAGGAGCACTTGATATTTGATACAGCTTCGTGCTATTCGGTATTTGTTATGGCTTCGTGTCATTTGAATGTTGAAGTGGCTTTGTGCTATTTAAAATTTGATGCGGCTTCATGCCATTTGGAATTTGAATAATTAATAGGCAAATGACCCATTAATTAGAATTTGAGTATAACAATCTGGAAGGGTTTTAGAGCCCTTGTATTGATTTCGAATGAATTTGGCTCAAACGAATTTGGAATTTGATTGAATGGGTGGGTGACCCATTGAAGAATTTTCGTGGTTTTGTACCACTAGAATTTGGTTTATTCAATTAGCCCTATGATTTGGAGGCAATCAGACTAATATTTTGCATGGTGCATTTTGGTGGTTTTGGATGTGCTCCACTTTTGGCAAAAAGAATTGAATATTTTTATTGCCATGTCATATTCACTTGATTTGTTTGGGCATGGCCTTGATTTTTTAAAGGGAACTTGATGGTGCTTTGACTTGTCTTGCTGCACTTCTTTTCTCCCCCTTTTTATGGTTTCGATGAGATGGGGTTGCCCATTTTGTTTCTTCCTTCCTTTTCTTTGTCTTGGGACCTCTATCAATTTGTCTCCGTGCCTGTCACTTCGTTGTTGCCTTTTATTTTGACGATCTCGTGATCGTGATCATGATTGTTCATCGTATATCATGCGATTAGTTTTTGTTAAGTACTATTTATATTTAATTTTAAATTTTAAATAATTTCTAACCACACTATATACGATGAACAGTCACAATTACGAGATTTCTAAGATCTCCAAGAAAATGATCCTTGCCGGAACCTTTTCCCCTTTTATCCTTGCACAATAACATAAGTCCCTGCTGTCATATTGTTTAATGGAAATATAAAAGCAAGTGGCAGAACTCCACTTTTATCAATGCCTTTAGGCATTTATAGAAGGAAAAGAATCCCTCGCATCTCTTCCATTAAATTCACATAATCAATCAATTCGAGCACTTGCAATTTGATTTAACGGCTAAAAGCAAAGAGTCTCTTTCAAAGTTATAATAACTTTAGTCGTTTGATCAAATTTCAAAGGTCTGAATTAATTGATTATGTGAATTGGTGGAAGGGATCCGAAGAGGATCCTTTCCATTATTGAAAGCTTTGCTCTTGCACTTTTGACATTAAGCCTTTATGCAAACAGTGATCTATTTGCTTTGGTTTGGTGAAGCCTTCAACTTACTATCCCCGATACTTTGGAGGGAAAGAAGATTCTCTCCCCTCCTAATTTCTTTTCCCTTCTCTCTCCTCCTACTTGAACGGTTACCGTTAAATCATGTCAACATTTTATATTATTTTTTTTATAGAGACAATAAAATAAAAAACAATGTAGGAGAAGAGGGGAGGGAAGATGAGAATATGAGGGGAGAGAATCTTACTCCTGTAGCAAAGCTTATTAACTCTATTCTTTCTTCACTCTTTGCTAGTAAGGAAATGGCCTTCCTTTCCATTAGCAATTTAGACAGCAGCTGTTACATGGCACACTTTGCACATTAGGAGGGACGGACAACGGGGACGAGTTACTTTCTTTGTCTTCATCCGCTGCAGATTCATGCTTGCTGCTGCTTTTCCATGTCGCGTGTTCATGCTTATTGTTGTTGTAGTGTTTAAAATCTTCAAATTTGGGAAAACGGAGAGTTGGGGTTGGTCTTACTTTGTCTGTTTCTTGGAGGCCACAATATTTTCCAACTTCTTGGGAGAGGTACAACAACTATATGTTACAAGAAGATACTCGCTGAAGGGCTTGCGAATCTGCTTGTTAGGTTCGCGGATTGAAGACGGCGAATTGGCACAATGATGAAGTAGCAATTTTTCGTCTTTGGGCTCTTGACAAATGGGATTCCGTGGCTGCCTTCGAGACTCTGCAACTCCAAGGGCTAGATCACAATGGTGCCGCTGCCGTCATCAGCTTCGGTGCCTATTTTTCTGGCGCACCCGAGCAGCTTGGACATGTTGTAGCGGTTCAGAGGAGTTGGTGCAGCGGTAGGGTAGTGCTAGAGACATCGCCATGTCTTGGAAAGAATCTCTGTTAGGTTGCAGGGTGTTGATGACGGTAAAGGCGCAGCGACGGTAGTGCTTTTCTTTGTTGATGTCGCTGCTGGTACTAGGATCTTGGTGAATGATTGCAGAGAAGTTGAAGGTGCCGACAACGTGGCAGCTGCAGCTGTTGATCCCTTCCTCCATTGACGCGACTTTCTTTTGTTTCTTCTGGCTTTGTGCGACACTGCATCACTAAATCCATCTCCTTCAAGTCGCATAGTGCACAGACTCTTTTTGGAAGACCACCATTATGCGACACTGCATCATTAAATCCATCTCCTTCAAGTCGCATAGTGCACGAGCTCCATCTGGAAGACCACCGGAAACGACGGTTGGAG